TCTTCCACGAAGCTGCTCTTAATAATTTAGAGAAGCCATGGCTCTTTTTCCTCTTGCCCTTGTCTGAGCTGGTCACCCAGGTGCAGCTGCAAATGAAGCTCCCCCTTACTAGGCTCATCTCGGGGAGGCTTGCCCAGCCTGGTGGGGATGAGCATTGCCACCGTTCTGGCTGCCATCAGCTGGGGCAAAGCTCACAGCATGGTGCTCAGTGCAGCTTTCTGGCTCCAAACTTCCATTTTCCTCTTGAAAACGATGCTGGGGCTGTGCCACCTGCCAGAAACCAGAACAGAAAGAAGCGACAACTGCTCAAGAGGGGAGAAACCCTGGTAAGGAGTGGCTTTGAGGGCAGCAGAGACCTGCCAGAAGACCGTGAAACCCAGTGGAAACAGAGAAGAATCACCTGTATCTTGTACTTTGTCGGCACCATCAGCAAGTTTCTTTTTCCCTTACCTCCAGTAAAACCAGTGCAGCCTTGCGGGAGCCAGCCTGGGCACTGGGATAAGGGGTGAGGCACACCAGGCACCACAGTTTGTCCCCTGCAGGGGCTCGAAAGTCCTCAAGAAACTTCCAGAGGGGACCAGATGGAATCAACATCCATCTGGGACAGCTTTCACTCTTCCTCAGGGCAAGAGAGTGGATGTGGTGGCCCCCTTTGGTCCCTGGAGCTGCTGAAGGCTCCCAGTAGCCACCATGGGCAGTGCCGTAACTCCCACAACATTCACTCATGGCAACACATGGCTCGGCCCATTGGGGCTTTTTGCAAGCAGCAGCCCTGCTCCTTGCCGGCGGCTCCGGCAGAGACGTGCTGTGGCCGGCTGGGCTTGGCTCGCCCGGAAAGCCAAGGCAGGAGGCAGCCGGGAAAGCCAGGGCAGGAGGCAGCCGCAGCAGGCGAGAAGCGGGAGCTCAGTCAGCAGTTTTGCTTTTGGCTTTCCTGTCAGATACGACACTGGTGAGACAGTGGGCCCTGCTTCATATTTTCCGTTCTGCCTCTCGGGCAGCGGAGGTGCCATGTCTTCAGCCCTTCCTGCACCCCCCGGCTGCAGCCATGGCTCCCCCTTCCTTTCTGGGTGGATGGTGGTCTGCAGCTGGCTGGAGGCTCCCAAGCCATCTGGTGGGGTTGGAGGTGTAGCAAAAGCATCTCCCGCTGCCATTTGGGATGGGAGAGCACCCAGCCTGCAGCAGTGCCTGTGCCCCCCCGGCCCCCCAGCAGCATGGTTGCAATCCTGCCCCTTGCAGGGAGCAAGGCTGGGGCCTGGGGATGCTCCAGGCTGCCAGGCACCGCTTCCCATCCGTGCTTGGAGGGCAGGGTGCCCAGCACTGGCAGAGACCCGAGCTAGGCTCCCCTGTGCTGAGCATGGCACCGGCTGTGCCGGCCGGAGCAGGAACAGGGCTGGGATGAGCTCCGGGCAGGATGCAGCTTTCAAGCCCCCAACTGAGCATCCCTGAACCAAGCAGTGCCCTGAGATGGATGTCAGCCTCCACGTCCCAGCATCCTGCTGGGGGATGGGGAGCTGAGGGGATTTGTGTGCAGGACCTGCTCTTGTCTTTCCGTGCAAGCCAGGAGAGCAGCCACCTACGGTTTTGACTCTCCCTCCAGTGTGGTGACAGTAGTTCAGTCTTCCTGGAGTCACTGCACGGGATCTGGAGGAAGCTGTATTACCTCCCATCCTGAGAAGTCCCCATTTCTGGCTTTTGCAGCTCCACCATCCCACATCCTTCTTTCCCCTGCCCCTGACTCCATATCACAGCCCTCCTGCTTTTGCCCACCACTGCACCCGTACCAGCTGGCCGCCCGCTATTTGTGCCAGCTGGCAGGTTTATGCCCCTTTTCTCCACTCCAAATTAAGCAAGGACCCAAGCAAACTCATTTCCACCTATGATGCTAAGGTTTGCATCAGGTTTTCTGGGCGGGCCTGAGCTGACACCCTCAAGTCTTTTGGCTTTCCCTGCCTGCACCAAGAAGAGGTTGGGCTGCGATGTGCCTGGTATGGTTGTGGGGTACATCATTTCTGCCGCAGCTGCTTTGCTGGCTTTGGAGGGGTGCTCCTGGCAGGGTTTCAGTGGTCTTTGGTTTAGGCTGCAGAGAAGAGGTTTGCTGCAGAGCAGTTCGGCAGACCCTACCACCTGGCTCTGGTTTTTGACCTCGCTCCCTGCAGCATCGCAGCCGCTGGGGCTAAGCCCTGTGCCTCAGAGCCACAGGCCACCGACAGAACAAGAGCAGGGCCCCAGCCTGGTCCTCAGCATCCCATTTTGGGAAAACTGAGGCTTACAGCCATGCAAGTGGGAGAAAAACAAGGCCCTATAAAATTAAATAGCACCTGGACCTCACTCGTCTGTGCTCTCAGGATGGGCCATCACTGGGAATGATTCCTGAAAGGTCAGAGGGGACAGGGTGTAGGCTTGGGTTTGCCCACCTGATTCCTATCGGCATCGTGATGTGAGTGATGGAAGATGCTCCTGACAGACACTTCCCCCGTGCTTTGTGCTCGCAAGTGCACTGCAGCCAAACCGGGTGGGGGTTTCCAGGTTTTTTCCCTGTATCACCCCAGACCAAGCATCCCCAGCCTGGCCAGGCACACTCATGTCAAGTGCTCATGAACACACAACTGCCCCCACAACTCCCCATGCAAATTTGTGTGCACACCCCTGGATTTGCACAGCTACCATGTGCCAAATACATGCACACCCCTGCGGACACACAGCCCCCAGCCCCACCCACCCCCTCTGCGGGTGGACGA